AGGAAATTTTTATCCCTAAATTAAACACATTTTTTGCCCTTCAAATTAAAAAATTTATTATAGAAAAATATTGCTTTTTAATAAAGGGCTTAAAAATAAGTTTAAGGCTTTAAGCCAAACTCATTAAGAGAATGGGAGATAAAAAATAAATAAATAATGTAATAATAATAAAGGAAATTGATACTTGAATTTTGAAGCGAAGCACTATTTACGGCGACGTTTTGCTGATTTCTTCACTTGCCGTTTCTATAAAGGGTCACATGGGGAAGACGGCAGAGAGCAGGCGAAAGAACAGAGAGAAAGGGCGGGAGGGTTTTGTTACTTTTGTATTTTCCCATTTCCACCCTAAAATTTTCTTTGCCCCCAAACCCCTTCTCTACCTCCTCTCCAATCAATGGACTGCCAAGAGGCTCCTGCCACCGCCACCATTGCCGATATCCCCACCCCACCGCATGGTTCTCCTGATTTCATCCCCGTCGGATTCCCAGATGTCATCCTTCCGGAGATTCTATCTCCTACGTCCGATGAGTACCACGACCACGACAATGAGCACGGTCAAGATCACGACCATAACCAGGAGAACTCGTCCGGAGCTGGAGTGCCCACTGATGATCTCAAACACAAAATAATTAAGCAGGCAAGATGGTGCTAACTGCTAAATCTCTCTTTTATTTTTCTCTCAACTAATAAACACACATATACAGCGTAGGCATGTAAAATACTATGTTTTTAGATAGAAAGAAAAGTTCTTTCAGATCTTAGGATTTGAAAGACTTATAGTTTGCCTGAGGAGTGCTGAAAAGAGGAAATTAGAATCTTAATTTGTTGGTTTACACGAATCGATGAACCTCTAAATACAGTTGTTAGTTTAGAATCAAATTATTACTAGGTGGTAGTTCATTTTGAAATTGGCTTTCTTGGTTAAGCTCTAGGTTATGACTTCTCCTTTTATGGTTTTGTAGGTGGAGTATTATTTTAGCGATGAAAATTTGCCTACCGACAAGTATCTGATGTCATTTGTATATCATTATGCTTATGTATATCATAAGGCTGTCATTTGTTGAAGGGATTGTTGGCATCCTTACTGCCCTACTAAGAAGAGTATTAATTCAAGTGGTTGGCCCTTTTCCGTTATTAACATATTTAATTTCTTTGAGATGAATGAAGATCCAAACACCTTGTAGATTGTGGTTTAATTGATTGATCTGAATATAAATATTTCGCAAGCTGAAAATAATGCTTGTTGGTGATTTTTTTCCTGGATTTGCTTTCCATTTAGCTAACAATGATAGGAGATTCCTCTTGAATGGAGATGAAAGTGATGAAATAAAGCAGGTACTTATGACAGGTCATTCCTAGCTCAGATGTTTTCCTGGTGCAACCAAATCTTGCTGTGCCGAACTTCTAGGCTAGGTCTGACTGAATGACTATGCAACTAACTGCTGTCTGATTCATTCTCTATTCCTTTAACTCATAAATGCTAATTGTTTTATTCAAATATCCATAATATATTTTCTTAAACTGATCTAATTCCATTGCCCATCAGTCTAATCTGACATCTTTGATCTGGTGATAATAGCCAAAATATATATATTGGCGTAACTGGACTGATTATTTGAGTTTGATCCTCTCTCCTCTCCCTGGGAAGAACAATGTTGAATGCTTATTTGAGGTCAAAGCTACCTTGTCATGTGCTTACTAATGCCCCAATAAATAACTAAAGAACCCAAATTTTCTAATGAGAAAGTGGCAGTTCTTTTT